GAGCGCCCCCTGCTGCCCCGGCCGGCCCGTGCGGGGTTCTCTGCCGCGCAGGAGTGCGGTGGGTTCCCCGCGGCCTGCGGTTGGGCCTGTGCATCTTCAGAGCACTGCCTGTTTGCGAAGCAACTGTACGTCTTCTTTAAGCGCACATTTTAGGCAGATAAACTTCCAGTGCATCACGGGCGCTTTGTCCAGTCCCGCTCCCTACAGCAGCCCAGATGCTTCGGCCTGCGCTCTATGTGTTGTCCCGTGATGCCAACGGGACTGAGACAGAAGTCGTCATCATGAGGACAAAGCCACTTTCTTGCAGCTGAGCTGCTTGCCTGGATGCTCCACTGACAAATGATGATTTCCCCACTGAAACTTTTCTCAAATATTTCTGCAGGCCCCACACACTTGGGTTAATTTCATTTCCAGGCTGTATGCACAGGACTGATGATTTCCAGAAATAGAAGCAGGAGTAGACTCAGTCCAGTCTAAACATTCTTTGAACTAAAGCAAACTGTCTTGAATTGATAGCTGTACTTTAAACAGCACCTCAGAAACAGAAGTTAAACTGTCATTAAAAAGAGGGAAAACAAGGCATTCAGGCTGAGGGCATTGAAGTGTGCAGGAGGTAGTGGGAGGTTGGAAGGAAACAGGAAAGATGATTAGACTGTGCTTAGTATTGTAAAGTGTGCTATTATTTTTAATTCTGAGGTTAGTAGAAAATAGATTCTGACATCCATTTTTTGTGTGCTGTGTGAGTTCTCAGCATTCTTATGCACCATCTTAGCTTTGTGTCATGTCAGCTTTGCTTTTCTTTGGTAGCTGAGAAATACAGTTCTAACTGCACACCCCCCCCAACCTCATTGCTCTCTAGCAAACCAAGCTCTAACAGTGCCTTTTTTCCCCCGTTTTCTTTTCTCTTTTTTTTTTTTAATTTTGGTGTGTGCATGTGCAGGGAAAAGCCTGTACATCTGCCTCTAGAGAACACACCTCGGGAGGAAAGAGAGATGACAAAGGTTTCTGAGAGAGGACAGAGCTGAGTAGCCATCCGCCCGGGCTGCATAGACCGCAACGCCTTTCCTCAACTCCCACATCAGAGCAGAGATGTGGGTTAGCCCTGAGGTGAGAAAAGAGGGCAAGAGCAGCAGCAAAATGAGAGAGAAAATTTCCAGGTTCATGCTACTTACATGTAGTTTTTAGTGCAAGAGATGAATTTTCACCTTGTCCTTGCAGCTGCCCCTTCAGGACTCATGGAAAAGGAGGTTGGCCACTCAGTGCAGCCTGGCTCTTGTCCCCTGAATTGTTGTACTGGCTAGTTGCTGCCCTGATCTGGCTGGTATCCCTGCCAAGAGCTCAGGATTTCTGTTGTCCCTCCCTGCCAGCCACAGACCCTGACTGCATTCATCAGAGCAGGTCTTGAATAACATCCCACATCCTTCCCTGAAGAACTGGTGACTCTTTTTCATGCCATGCCCTCGTTTCTCAGCTTGTTGGCCATTCATTTATTAGTGCCACCACTGATCCTGACTCCACCTCACCTTCTCTCCCCTTACCTGTAAGCACCCAACAGTAGCTAAACGTCTCCTCAAGTACATGTGGAAGAAACAACACAAGTAACCCAGCACAGGCCCTCTGGAAGCATCTTATTTCCATTGTTTTCCTTTCTTGACATGAATAGATGGCTGAGGAGAAAGCTTCTCTTCCTACAGCTCCTCTGTATTTCTTCTGTCCTTCCTTAAAACTAGTTAATGCTTTTGATAAAGAAGCTGGAAAATTGTTTGATATGAAGCTTATCATTCTTTAGGAATCGCTGACTAGGGAAACACATGAATTGTCTTTGAAAGGTGAAAGAAGCAAGGGTATCTTTCCACAGCAAATTTCTATGGGGCTCGCTGAGGATTGAGTAATCAGACAGAAAGGAGTTAATTGTTTCAGCTAATAATATTTATTTGAAAAATTGCATGCAAACTAGTGACAATCAGCATGGTATAAAGTTGTCTGAATCACATGTTAATCAGGATCATCTGCCAATAAAAAGGGGAAGTAGGATCCTCAGTGCCCCAAAGGTTTGAATTCCTACATAAAGGGGTATGGATGTTATAAGCCTGTAAGTTTTTTATATTGAATGAGAGGAAACAGCTGCCCTGACACATAGAGACTGTCTGTAATTGCAGGCAGGTTGGGTTCAGCCAGATGCAGATGGTGCATTTCTCTGTGCAACAGGGTCAGTCTCTCCTCTCAGGCTAATAGCTGCTCTCCCACTGGAGAGGCCAGCGGGGTCCTGGCAATTTACTCTTGACCAGGGGAAGCAGCACCAAGCAGATGGGCAGCTGTGCTCGGCAGCAGCTGAAATGGGGATGGGTTGGGTTTCAGGTACACCTCTCCTCCATGATTTTTGCCTGGATTTTGGGGTAGCATGAGGAAATGTTGCCTCCCTTATTCCCAGATTAGTCCCTGGCTTTCAACAGTAAGGTCAGGTCTTCATCCTGGAAAGGAAATGGACAGGCTTCTCTGTCCATAAACTGCCAACAACATCTAGAGGTAGCTCAGGATTTGACAGGTCTCATTTGCATTGAAAAGCAGCTGAGGTCCCTTTCTCCTTCCACTACACAACAAACTCTCTCCAAACAGACACAGCTTTCCCTAGCTGTGGCCCCCAAGGACCTTGCAGTGGGGTGGGGAGAATAATTTTTCTTGTTATGTGACAAAGTGGGAGCTGAGTTCCAAGAGATTTAAGCCCCTTAGTACTTTTTGAAGGCCTTCTGGAAAGCTGTGCATAGTTTTGGGTTTAGACACATCTGACAGTTCGACAATTTGACTTCCTCAAGATTATGCAGAATGTGTGGGAAAGAAGAGACAATTAAAGGCAGCCTTCTCAGCTATAGTGTAGTGTGCTGCCCTAAATTCACCCTCCCTTCCCCTTTTTTGCAAGGCAGTACAAGACTGATGGTGTGTATCTTGAGTTCCCTGTGCTTGAATGTTGTAGCACAGTTATTTTGCTTCCTGACATGTGTTTGAGCATTTCTGATAGACTTCTTTACTTCTTGATCTAGGGCTGAAAAAGCAGGAGTAAATCAAGAGGTACAGACAGACACTCACCCCTCAATATGCCCATTACCAAACATTGTTTCCCAGTTTCATTTCTCACCGCTGAAGTGTATGCATGTCTGTGCTCAGAATAATGGTTCCTATCAATGTGGTGTTCCTTAAGTGAGAGATCTGTTGAAGTGAAAGACCAAGGAAAATAGATTTGCACCACATTAGGATTAACATAATTTGCGTGTGGTGCAGTTTCAGAGAGAGAGGGGAGGCAGTGCTAAAGAGGTACAATGCAGCGTGCATAAAACGAGGTAATTCCTCCCAAAGGCAGAAAGCAAGAAAGTTGTGCACAGAACAGATGTGAACATGTGAAATTAATGATAGAAATTTGACATTGTGGAAAGCTTAAAAAAACCTTTCTAAATTAGATCCAGCTCTCTGCTTACTACGATGTTTCAAAATCCCTTGGAAATCAGGATAACCTGGGGCTTGCTAAAAAGGCTTATTTACGAGAATGGGATTCTCTGGTCTGTGTTGCAGAAAGGGAACCTCAAAGTGAAATAAACTGAAAAGAAGGAAGCATCTTTCCATAAAGACCTCAATGAAAATTCCATGTGGCAAGAAAATATGTGGGGGTTTTTGGTGTGTGCAAGCTTTGTACATCAAAGTCCTATTTCTCCGCATCCTTTAAAACACGTGACCTCCTCACATGAGGTAAGATCTAAATTCAAGCTTTCTGGGAAAAGATTGTTTCTCTTGAAAATGAGCATATAAAATCCTGAGCTTTGCTCAAAAGGAGGGAGTTAGTGGTTTTGTATGGAAAGTTTGATTTGTGAATGATTAGCAGTAAGCAATCCCTACTCGGGTGCTCTCACATGAAACTGTGCTTTCTTGTTCTGTGTAGCAATGGAGTTTAGGTTTACCAAGGGCTGTAAGCCTCTCTTTGTTAATAGCTAACATCCCTCTAAGAGGCAGTGATCAAAACACAAGGTAACCCTGGAACAGCTACCCAAGCTGCAGAAGAGCAAAGTGTGTGTGTAAAGCTCAGGCAAGTGCTAATGCTCAAGGCCTTGAGCACCTCTTTATTTAAGTGCAGCTCAGAGATTGAGAAAGTGGGGAAAAACGTACAGGGTCACTGTGCCCAAGACAGGCTCTCCTCTGGGCTGATGTTGCAAGCCCCTGTGTCTATAATTGTGCACAGCCACGACCTGCCTTCCTCGATTTGTTATGTCCCTGTGGCTTGGGAACCTGGGTCACCTCCAGGTGAGAGGGCAGCGTGTTACTCCAAGACCCAGTGCAAAGTCACTCTCTGGGTTAGGCTGGCAGGGAACAATCAAGCAGTAAGAAGCATTCAAAAACCCCTTGGGAGTCAGAGTCCCCACTCTTGTAATCAAGAGGCAAGAGATTATTTCAAGCAGGAGTGCTCCTGCTGTGGTAAGTAACGCCATACCTGGAAGGCAGGTACCTGCCCACTGGTACCTCTGGGCCTTGCAACAGGTCCAGTAACCTTGGTAGCTTCTTACTGTCATATTAGCTAACCTTTAACTGATTCCATAGCACCCACTCCCCAGCCACTCTGTACTTTGCTCTATGAAGACAATCTCTGTTTGAATGGCCTTTGCAAACAAGCACTTGAGATGGATGCATTTCCAGAGTGCTGACCACAGAAAGCAATGAAAACTTTAATGTTCTGGGAAAGACCTGAATACCACACAGAAAAAAACAGATTCTCATGTAACAAGTTATTTTATTTTATATTTTTTCCAGAGTTCCTAGTGAAATTCTCCCATTATTGTAGGGAAGAAAGTACAAATCAGGCAAGCTTATACATCAGTAGTGAAACATGCCCTTCACAGTGTGGCTGCGACCTGTCCTCGTGAACTTGACTACGGTCCTAGCATTTCATCTTTGCAACAACAGAGAAAATTGTATTGTTTAAAGAGCACTGTGATAAAGAAGAAAACATTAAGAGGACAAGATGGCCACAGATATTAAATAAATTAAAAGCATCTGTTAAAGTTTCTTTCCATATACAAAATATCTTTTCTTTTTGGGGGGTTATTTTAATTTTTTTTAATTGACATCACCTGTACAAAGTTTAACCTTTCAACAGAAATCATTTTAAAAGGCTGTTTTTACAAGAATTGGGTTGCTAAAGAAAACATCCTGAAAACTGCTGAGCCTTTCCTCAGAGATGAGCATGCAAAGCTTTTGGGCCAGCCCTGCAGCGGTGCACAGTGACTTGCAACCCCAGGGCTGCTCAGCACCTCATGAAAGGTGCCTGCCCTGCTTCTTGCAAGGTCAGGGCCCCCAGACAAAGCAAAAAACACAACCTGCCTTGTGACCCTCCCAGGGAACAGCACCATTGGTTCTAGCAGGCAATTCTCCTGTGTCAAGGTACTACACTGCAGGATAAGCAAATTTTATTTTGCACTCTGTATTTTGCACACTTACTGTGAGATTCTCTATTCAGTCTCCAAGAGTGAGATTTTCAAGAGCTTTCTGCAGCAGCCTCCTCACAGTCTGCTCCTCACTGGGGGCTTTGCTCCCAGAAGAGCCTGAAGAGAGAGCTTGTGTAGCTCAAGGTATTCTCCTCCCCATCTTTTAAGCCAGCCATAAAATAATGCACGGGCATCACATACCACGTAATTAGATGGAAAGCAGAGCCATTTATCAATTAATAGTATTTCAAAAACCAGAACAGGTAGGTAAAGCTTCCCATGCTGATCTGAGATTAAAACAGTGATTAATAATGAGTTGGAAGTTATTTTGAGGTCCCTACTAATACAGAGTTATATAAAGAAATCAATTCCTTTGTGATTAATATATTACTGATGCTAGACATGGCTTTATATAGAAAGTTTTGCTTACAGATTCAAATGTAAAACAAGTTGTGGGCATAAAATGTCTCATTTCTATACAGTTAACTTAAAAGAACACTCGGCACAGAGTTGGAAGAGCAAGATCACATTTTGCCTGGAAGACTGCACCTATTCTACATGATACGGTTCATGACAAGGTCCTGCTGTAGCCCACTGAAAACCAAGCTTAACATATTCATGTTCATTTTCAGGTGATGCCTTTAAGGTCATTTCCAGGCTGTCTCATCACAGCACTGGAAAGCAGTGCCTATAGCCTTGGACTCGGCTTCAGTCCCAAATTGTGACTCAGAGCACAGCTGCCCCAGATGGCTGTGCTGAGGAAACACCTATATTTTGTTAGTGCCTCTGCTCTGCAGCACAGGAGTTGGGAAGCTTGGCCGCCAACACCCTATTCTGATCTTGGTAACTCTCCTACCATCCAAGGAGAGAGCCAGGGTGCATCTGACCTCTGCATTTTCTTCTGAGGAGCCCTGTCCCCAGTACTGCTTGTGCCAGACACCATTCACAGATTGAGCTGGGCTCAGCTCAGTCCTGGCCTTCTGCTCAAGAACCAGACACTCCAATTCATCCCCAGCAAGCAGGGGGCTGGGGCTCAGCAACTCCTCATCTTGTGGGGTCCCCATTCCCCCTGAGTTTTCCCTGGGGGACTGCCCTTCTCCAAGGCAGCAGTCTCATTTGCAGTAGGATGATTCCCCCCAGCCCTCCCATGGGGAGTTAGAAAACTGTGAGGTACTTTCTCCTCTGTGCTGTTTGAGGTGTAGTCTGGTGCTATTCTAAGGGAGGTACGTGCTGTAATCCTAGTACAGGGCGATGCGCTGAGAAATCCAGCCCTCGGGGGCTACTGAGCAGCTCCCACCTTTCTACTCAGGACAAGAGATGTGCACCTCGAGTCTCAAAAACACTGTGAAGGAAATTATTCTGGTGGTAAGAGTGGTACTCATCACCAGCCAGATCACCTTGAACAAAGAAATGCGACGTACTGGCACAAAGCCAAGGTTGCCTTGCCAAGCTCTATGAAATCTATTTTGCCACAAGTTCGCTACAAATTGGATATTAGATTTAGCTAGGTTTATTGTTTGAGCTTCTGTGTTTTTTAATACTAGCCATTGTCACACTGAATTGTATAAAATGATGGACTTACCTGTGCAGCTCTTACAAAAGACAACTATCGAAACTCACTGCATCTGTTTTTGCTTGCAGGGCCTGATGTCTACTGAAAATCCGAGTCAGCTCCCAGTTTAACCAGTGGCATCCCCCATGTGTCCTAATGATACCAGGCCCAGAAGCGGACCAGGGGATGAAAAGGTGAGCCCTATGGTACTGGTAGCCTGTGCACATCACTGCTTCTGCCTGTCCTTAAAGTCCAGACAGGAGCCCACACAGCTCTGCACCAGAAAGACAGGCTCTTTTTTATTACCAAGACACAGCTGTGAAAAAAAGCTTAGTTGTCTTGGCTTGTCTTTTCAGCCAAGAGAAAAGCACAGCCTTTTTTCTCCTGTTTTTAAGTCCATCCGATTTGCATACAGAATGTCTGACTTCTCTTCTGCATGCGGAAGTGGATCAGATGAACCGTGATCTAAATGTGCACAGCTTCACACTTGGTTCTGTGCTTGGGTTTGATGGCAGTTCTGCTCCTATATGCTGAAAATGGCACTTGTTCTCTAGAAATTGAGACTTTTCCAGTTCCAGCAAACAGATTCTTCAAGGCAATACGCTGCTACAGAGCTCTTGCAATCAGGTTGGATAGCTATGCTAATTAGCATTGCTTAATTGGAGCCAATAAACATGTATCCAGTGACACTCCAGGAACCTGACTGCAGGAGCATGCTGTTCAAGCAGGGTAAGGGAAGGGCCACAAGCATAACTTGCATCTGGGACTAATTGGTGTTCTTTTTTCTTTTTTTTTTTTTTTTAAAGTTAAACTCCTGTCAGCTTCAACTGAGACTCTGTGCAGGTAAAAAGTGTTTGCTGAAAGGATCCCTAGGCTACCTATTCTACCTCCACACCTCTCACACCTTCGCACATGCACATTACTCAGGTTGGTAAACACAATAGCACCAGTGACCAAATACAAAGATCAATGACCAAGTGTTTAAACCAGCCCCAAATAGCTATGAAGCAGCCAAAAGGCATGTACATAGATAGGAAAACTGTTTTCACCTTCAATACGCTGCAGAATGCTGGCTCCGTAGTAGAGAACTTTCATGATGGTGGGGAATTAATTTATTCCCTATGAATATTTGCCCTATTTCAGAGAGTCAGTTATGTAGGTAACTCACGGAAAAGGTTGTTTGATGTTTACTCTTAGCGCAAACTAAACCATCTCTCCCACCAGTCAGAAGTGCTTTAAAAAGCATCATCCTCTACAGATCCTGCTGCTGGAAATGGAACCAGGGTTCTGTCTAAAGTACTTCTGTGAACATTTACTCTGTAACAGAACAAACTTTTTTAGCAGCTGTGCCTGAGATTCATTAGATGTTTTCTTTCCTGCTTGTAGTTTCTCAAATGAATTTTTAAAAGAAATTTAAATTGACAGCATAGGTACCACAAATTTCATTTTCAGAGTAGAAGTGAACTTGAGATAGGAAAAAAAAAATCTACTATCTGATTTATGTAACAATCAAAACTCACCAACCAGAGGCAGTTTTGAACAAATAATCTTAGTGAAAGCCTGCAGATAAGAATTGTGCACCAAAGAATTTCACTTCAGGAATCAACTACCGTGATTTACTCATAGATTATTTGCAGCTATGTTCTAGAATATGTGTTGCGAACAAGTCACTCAGACACTTCACTGAGCGTGATACTTTCATACCCTTGGCCTGCTGAGTTTCCATAGTGGCATGAAAGAAAAGTCTTTGCTTTTGAGATATCACAATTATGCACACAGCAGTAGTGTGTTTTGTGTTCTTCCAACTGAAGGCACTGACATCTAAATAAGCTGAATTACGAAGAATACGTCAATGAAAATGAATACACACATGCAGTTGGTGACATGTCATACCAAGGAGATATATGTCTAAATTGGATTATTTAAGGCTCTTAGGATGTTGGACTTGTTCATATTCCTTGCTGCACTACTCAACAACCTAAGGCAGAAAGCTTACCTTTAAAATGGAGAACAGTATATTTCTAGTCTCCCTACCCATTAGTCACCATAAGAATGGAGACAAAAATTAATAGCTACTGCTGCTTCCAAAATCTGGTACAAAAATAGATCAGTATGTCCTTCTGGCAGTCTCAACAACCTTGAAGAGTCTTCTGCAAATTCCTCTTTCACCTCTTGATTTCAACAGAAACAGTCAGTCCCCATTGCCAAGACTTGTCTCTGGGTCAAGTTCAGAGATGAATGAAGTTCATATTCTCTTTACTTGGAACTGATATTTGGAATCCATTCCATTTCCATCCTCATTGTTTGGATTTTTATGTTTTTTCTTTTTTTGTCCAAAGGAAATGCATTGGCAGTGCAAACAAAAAGTATCATGAAACACCCCTCTGCCCTGCCCCCCCTCCCCCCAAAATAGCAAGTGATCACCTCAGCATTTCAAAAGGGGTCTCCCAAGATGTTATCTGCATGCACAGGATTCCACTGTCATGTTGGGGTACACCTTAAGAACCACATTTTTGTTTTCATCGAAGAATAAGATACTAAGAGAAGACATTTTGTCAGGAACACAGCAAGGCTCGGGAATGCCTGGGACAACCCCAACAGCTCTCACTATGCTCTGGATGGTGGCATGGTTGGATGGCTTCAGGGCCTGCAAGAGAAAGATAAAGCACAAGATATAACTGCACTGATGTTACAATAGACCCACATACTCTAGAAAAAAAATGATTTATTGAAAAAGGGCCCTGTGGAGACTCCACACCTGGCTAGCTCTAGAATGTGTCTTCTAGTTGACCATTTCCAGTTGTCACTGTAGCTTCCCTGAGCCAGCAGCAAGGAATGGAAATCCAGTCTGGTTCTTTGGGCCACTGGTTGTGAGTGTCACTCCACCGCTTTCAGCTTGAGCACCCTGCTGGGGACAGGGCCTCGGGCTCTCTGTGGAATGTGCCTTCCCAGGAAAATACCCAGGCAGCAGACTTTGCAGCAAGGTGTACCTATAGGTTAAAGTAGTATCTTCTGAGTGAATTAAATCACATGTAGGCTACAATTTAGTCATAAAACTTGTTCAGCTGGGAGGGAGGCAGTCAATGTGTTAGCAAAATAAGTCATTAGGGGAACAAAAGAAACATAATTTGTAGGTTGGGAAGTTTGACTGGTGGCATGCAAGAGCAACAGGAAAAACAGAAGTGGATAAAATGCGTCCAGATGAGAGAGTGGAAGTACTTTACACCACGATACTAATTGTTCCACTTTACTCTCGTGCAAGGTTAGGTTGTTTTGTTCATTCTTCCATGCCAAATCTCTTCTCATCTGTCACTGACACTGCTGAGTAATTGAGCCCCTAAATCCCATGTCAGTTATACCTCATATTAAGGTGACATTTTTCTCCAAAGGACAAATTTCTCTGTATTTATACTCGTGTAAAGAGGAACACGCTTTGTTTTGATATGAACAGAAAGCAAAGTTTACCAGTGAGATAACTGTATTTGTTCACAAAACCAGAATACATCAATACACTCATAAAATTAAAAATTAACATATTGACAGAAATGAAAAAGACTAAGTTTTACCTCTGAACCCTCAAACCCTTCCCAATCCAAGTATCTGTATGAAAGATAGGTGAGCATGAAAAATGTGCAAGATGCAGTTTTTAGCCCAAGACTTGGGGTTTTTTACGAGTAAAATGTTAACAATGCTTATTAGAGCTCTTCTGACACATAGAACCTGTGAATCACACAGTTCAATATGTTCAGTCAGATGCCACTGAGAAATATATGGAACTAGATCATTCGGGACAAATGTGCAATTGGCAGTTTTGCTGTGACAACACATGATCTGCTTTCAAAAAAAATCATTCTTAAGGGTTAGATATCTACCTACCCGAGGTACAAGTCTTAATGATCCTGCATGCAAAAAGCACAGGAGTAACTGTGAGATTCTGGCTCATTGTATCATTCATGTAGCATGTTAGTACATTTAGGAATAAATGCTTCCAATTCTGCTGGCAATACACACAGATGTCTAACCTGTCCCTACTTACAGCAACATTGCTGACAACTAATGCCAGCTGTATTTTCTTTCTTTCTCATGGAGACAGTTGTCCCTCGAATTCCAACAGAAATGGATCAGAATGGACATTTTCCATATCATGTTTTAAAACTAGTCTCAAGAGAAAACTGAAACCATTTGACACAGAATTGAAAATGATTCACTGGGGAGCATTCAGCTATTCTTAATGTACATGTTACACATAATTTGACTGGGTTTTGCTACTTCTTCTCATGAGGAACCTATTTCACCTGCAGTAAGGCTGAGCAACAAACAGTGCCAAGCCTGCACACCCTTGCTTCTGTTTATCCTCAGAGACAGAATTTCCTCAAGTATACTTAGGATTCAGGTCTCTTAAACACAGACATTATACAGAGCTTGGTCTTTTTCCTCTGTTGCTGTTTAAGTTTACTCTCATAGCTTATCAGATGAATGAGATGCAGGGGTGTGGTGATATTCTGTTTAAAATACAAATGTACTATCCTCATAATGGGTGTAGGTTTTCCAGCATGGTTACAAAGACATTTGTCTCCATCTAGGTACCTGATCTCTAGAAAGACATTTCTGCTTGTTTGTTTGTTCTGAATTCAAGAGTACCTATGTTCCTAGCAGTAGCTGACAGGGATTTCAAAAATGTCTTAGATTAGTATACAATTCAGATTTCTGTATCAGATCCGCCTGCAAAAGGAAGTGAAAGCTCTGGTAGCATCCAGGCTTGTTTCCTTACTCAGCTACAGTGTGGCATTCTCTAACAAAAATTACTGGGAGCCTCCTCCAACAGATCTCCTGAGTCTGCTGATCAGACATCAAAAGGTAAAACATCTATTGAGACACTATTTCCCAGTGCCAGTAGTACTGGAATTAAAAACAGGTCTCCAAATATGCCATGTTAAGGTCTCATCAGAAACCCTTCCCTTCAGATACAGAATCCATACCACTAAAATGCTAAATTGCACAGAACTGATTTTAAGTATTGCTTCAGCTATTAGTGGGAATAGCCTGGATACATTTTGTCATTGTATGATAAAAGAAGTATCTCTATTTGATATGGGTATCATACAATACAGAACGTCCTCCATACTGACTTGCAGTCCATCTTGAATACATGGCCCCTGGCCTTTAAGGTGCACTCTTGAGGATAACCAGCTTTGGCATAACTCTGCTTCTGCCAGTGGGAATTTAATTGCAACTGGAGTAAAATCCAAAGGCGTGTGCTTCTCAGAAAATGAAAATCCCCCTCAGAGTACTGAATTGGCGTAATGCCCTGCACAAGGGGGGTGAGTTAGGCCATTGCCTGCAGGCTGCCTACACTCTGTCCACACATGGTCATGAAAAGCAGGCAGAGATTTTATGTTAGGAGGGGAGAAGCAGGGGAGGCCGAGAAGAGCAGCGGGAGGAAAAAATGCCGAGCTGACTCCAAACTGCCAGACCTGTGAATGAGTCCAGCTGTGGCTCAGGCTGCACCTGCTAAGCTGCACGCATCCTTGGGAGACTTGCTGCCCTGTTGAATTTCATTAGAGATGTATTATGAGCAGGGCAAATGATGTCAGTTACGAGCTTTCATTCCTGACCTGGGAGAGGGCCCGCCTGGCCTGTATGCTCTGCGGCATTACACAAGCCCAACACGTGGGTTTGACAGCAGTCAAACCAGCTAATTGAAATCAGGGAAAGGGTAAGGCCAGAAAATTTGAAGGTGGGAAGGGGTGGAGGGGCCGGGGGGGAAGGCACATCTGTTCTTAATTACCCAACGGGTTGTCAACTTTAGGAGCTCGCCCTCAGCAAAGGAACAGTATATACCCATAGGCACAGAATAGTTTGTTATTGCCTGATGGTTATAGTATCATTTTGCAACAGTCTTATTAGTAGCACCAGATACTATGCATGGCTCAAGAATAACACATGACTTTAGAGGACGCTTGCTTCACCTCTCCATATAATTTGGCTTTTCATTCTCTTTGAAAAATAAGGTAGTTTTGGTTTTTGTGATTTAAAAAGTGTACAAAAGGAACAATTTTAATTCCAACATGGACAGAAATCTACCAAGTGCTTTCAGGGAACCAGACTCACAGTGGGTTTCAGTAACCTGATGTCTTAATTAACTAGTTCTCTCTGCAGTACATGGCAGCAAATATTCAGCTGCACAGTGTCTAAATAACTATAATGCTCTGCTGCTATAACTCTTCACCCAACTGAGACTAGAGAGTTTCACACACAAAGGCCAGATTAGGCCTTTTAGTAGGAATTTGTAGAAGAAAACTAGTGTCCTGCTTACGGCCCTGCAGGCCTGCGCTACACACTTAGTTCAATGCAATCAGACCTCCTGCTCCATGGCAGCAAAGTCATTTAAACTCAGTGCGTTGCCTACTCATTTCTCCTGTTTCTTTCTCACTTTTTTTCTATTACAAGCTTTTTCCAGGTGAGAGACTACTTCTGATAGTGTGTCCGAGACTACCCCAGGCAGAAGCAGAGGGGTGAAGAGGAGGAAGAAGAACACTCCTTTGGATCTGCTAGACTTAGTTACCTTGATAATAGTAGCCAATACTGCAAGTCTACTTATTTGAGAAGATGGAGTTGACATCTCAGAGGCAGATGCTAGGATCTGCAGGAAAGCAAAACCCAAATTTGGCAGAAAAAAATTTGTCTCTGTATGTTAGAAAATCTTTTGATGCTCAATGTAATACTTCAGTGGAATTACCCAAAGATGGACAACTTCCAGACAAAGCTGGAACTCCTCTTTCACCCAAGCACTACCTGTTAATTACCTTTCAGTTGTGTGCACTGTTCGTACCTCCCTCTCATGACTCAGTGTCAAGCATAAGATTAAACTCATTTTGCCTCTTCAGAACCACCAGTAAAACTCATCTTGGGATGTTTTACTTGCAGGAGCATTTGTATGGCTCATTGTGTTTCTTTCCATAGGTTTGAAGTTGCTCTGGAAATTAAGCCCTGAGGTTATGGCACGCATTAAGGATTTTCCGGTTGTAGGTGCTAACAAAGACTTTGTGTAAAGAACAGGAACTTTTTTATTACAGTGCTTCTTTACCATTACTCTACTTTTGGTATCTCAGAATTTCTTTATCTCCATGAAGATACATTATGCTTTTTGCTGCTGGAGTATCTGTTCTCAAAGTCTCACCTCGACTCTCAAAGAGAGACTTGCTTTCTGTCTTAGATCTGTTATTTCCCATCAGCTCTTGTCAGGAATAGATTTCAGTCGGAGCATGAAGAGACCAGTAACAAGGGCTTCTAAAACCACTACATCCAAAACTGGTTTTGAGAAAGCCTTGTTTGCTCTTGAGAGTGCACATTATTGAGCAGTCTGAGGTTTGATCCAAGCTCTCCTAAAGGGAAAATGGGGTTCTCCCCAGTCTCTCCATGAGGCATCAGCTAACCCAGAAATAAATGCTATGTACTGACTATTAAGAGAGAACTCTGCTGTCTCAGAAAGTGGAAACCTCTTTTGCATGTCTGACAAACATTAAAAAAAAAAAAAAAAGATGTCTAGTGACAGGGTTGAAATGGTTATTCACTAGCAAGTGCTAGATCCTGGCAGTTCATCAGCACCTGAACTATCATTTACATCTTTGAGAGTCGAAAGATCCAGACCTGCAAACCTTAGGAAACGGAACCTAAACACTTTTGGACTTTAAGATGAGACACCTTCAAGCCTTTCTAAGAAGTTGCTATACAAGTTTTTTTTCCTATCATCAGAAATACAGAGGAACTTGACTGAAATTGTCTTCCAGTAAAATCACTGATGTTTCAATGGGTAATTGACTATTTACTTTGTTTCTTTAGCAATACCTACGATAACCCATAACAGGTATCTCATTTTAAGTGAAGAATATTTTAGGGGTCAGGATCAGCTGAGCTGGAGACACTTTTTTTTTTTTTTAACTCCTTTGAACTGAAGTACTTTAACTCTTCTGGTTTAAGTATCACATACCATTTTCTCCTAAACAAAAATCAGAGCAACACTTTTTTATGTCTGGGATGAAGCTTTTGTAACTAAATCTGTATCTAGAAATGCTAACCCAGTCTTAAGCAGAGGGACACAGAAGGCATTTTTACAATTTATGTGTCTTTGAAATTAGAATGGAAGAAGTCCAGGTCTGGAATTTTTAGAATTTCTAACCTGTACGCTGAGTTACTCATTTGACAGACCACAGTTCCCATCAACAATAAAGTAAAAGGCCCGATGCAATGTATTAAAAGGTCCTTACCTTTTTATCTTATCGTTTCTTGTTCCCTTTCATTTTTTCCTTTGATCTGAAACCTGAAAGCCTACCATTGCATTTGGAAGTAGTCAGGTAAGTCATCTCCTCCTTCAAAGAGAGACTCCTGCCTTCCTCTGCTTGCTTTTTCTGGGCTCCATCCTCTTTGGTACATTTCTCCACCAGTCATTTTCAAAGGGCGACTCCCTTTGGACTTAAGCCACTGAAATGCCACATAAATTTTAGAACTAATTGCTAAGGCTTCATGGTGGCAGGAATAAAGACTCTTGAATGTGAGGTTACAGTGAGACCAAAAACCCTACCTTTACTGTCATTTCCTGTAGGCATTATTTGTGTATACCTCTCATTTTAGGCCAGCCTCAAATACCACATCCTACTTTTAGGTTTTGGTACTCTTGGGAGGGTCCATGCTGCTAATAATGACATTAGGCATTTGATTTTAAGGAGCTGAATTCACCCACCTAAGTCACAGGGCTAGGAGCATATCACCCTTTCTTGCTACTCATGTGCAATAATCTCATAAAAAACAGAGGATATTTCAAAAGTCAGTTGGCCAGGATCCATTGCTTTGGGTCCCCTTGGTCTGTCATAGAAGTGATTCATTTGACTCTTTCACTTACACTTAAGAGTGTCCCAACTGCTCCTATAGCCACAGAGCCTCTCTGTCACTGTGACAGTCATGCCTCACGGGGCACACATACTTCCTAAAGCATGCTATGCTGACTGACCGCAGTGTGGCTCTGGCAGCAGGGACTCCTTCGAGGCATAATGACTACTGTCTAATAAGCAATTTTCTGAATCTGGCTTGTATTATGTTTATTAAACAGGTTAATAACAAGTTCACACATCATAAGCACTATTCAGGAAATGTTTTATGACAATTTGGGTTCTGGACAAAAAACTAATACCATGAAATATTTTTTTAATTACCTTTACAAGCCTGTCTTTTTACTAGCTGTTCTAACCATTACTCCTTGCAGCCCAAGACAAAGATATCACTTATTTATTAGATCCAAACACGTAACAGGTGACCAGCTGCCTTCTTTCACTGACGCAGGAAAGAAAACGCATATTTTACAGTAACAGACAGTGCAGAAGAATCAATAAAGACTGTACCTTTGGAATTGGGAATTGGCATTCCCCTGAGCAGTAATAGGCGTCGAAGGATTTAGGGGAAATAATCCACTCACTCCAGCCAATGTCTGCAAAATCCACCTTGAGATAGCGCCGGGCGCAATACCTTGGCTCATTCCACTGCTTCCTCCTCGCCTTCTTCAGCGTTTGCTCATCGAACTGGAGAGTCTGGCTCTTCTGGTGATGATTCTTCCTCTGCTTTTTCTTACTCTTTGTTCTCTCTGCCAACCGTGGCTGCAAGGTTTTGTAGGGTTTTCTGTCTTCCCATCTCTCATCCTCATTGTACTGGTATTCAGCTCCTGGAAGCTCATTATTCTGTAATGGCAACAGAATGTTTGCGGAGCGTTTTCTCCGACGCTTCCCAAGGCTGCTCCTCACATGGTTTTCTGGCCTGGGAAAGACCCTTGCCAGAGGACGACGGTGTCCTTGCAGACTAGAGACAACGCTCTCTGGCTCTGAAATAGCAGAATCATTGGCATAAATCAGAATGTAGGGTTCATAGCGAGAAGGTGCCCTTTTCCAGGGGTGATGGCTGGTCAGATCCATTTTGACACTGATCAGGAGGTCATTGTTTTGTTTCGCTTCATGCAGGAGCTCAGTGATATCCTTCCACTGCCAGGAAAGGACATCCTGGTAAGCAGTGGAGACATTTATTAGGAAATGTCCCAGGCTCCGAGTCTGATTCCCAGCAGAAGGAAAGGTCCAAACTGAAAGATGTATCTGAATTTCAGGTTTCCTGTGCCCATGACGAGAACAGCCTCTGGATTGGGAACAGTTTGGCCTAGCATGCAGCAGATCACCAATATAATAATACACCAAAGCTGACAAGACGTTTTCAGACTCGGTGAGTGACGTCAGGTTAAAAACATACATCTCCTGGCTTTCAGAGCTCCCTAGAAGAAAAAATACTTAGATAAGAATATGGGCATTTTGAAATGTTATAAAGGACTGAGTACATTGCTTTCTACGTTATACATTAAGTTCACAGAAAATTTTCAAGCAGTACTATGGGAACAGGTTTAGACCACTTCAGAAAAACCACCAAGCTGGTAAACTGGTGATCATAAATCATACTTTCAATCTGGTTTCCTTGTAATACCTATCTCCATTCAGAAATACTCACACATTTCCTACTGCTCCTCTCACTTCAGGAAGCAAACTAGGTCACTTTGATAACTAAAGACTTTATCTATCACCCAGTAATTTGAATGTCGCCATAGTAATGTTTTGCTCTTTTGTTTTTCTCTTTCTGTAACAATTCGAACCCTCAAAATGCACTTAGGTGACTTTGGCTGCCCTGTCATGACTAAAGAACTGTTGTCTTTCTGTGTCCAAGACAACCGAGACACTAATGGGACAATGGCACTGAACCATGCCTTGGCCCAGACCTAGCTGAAGCTGGAAAAGGCTCCCACTGGCTTCACTAAGCACTAGATTGTTTGTAAATATCCATTATCCTGTTGAGCCACAGCCTCAGTTGGAAAGAAAAGATTTGCTTCGCTACTAGTAGAGGCTCAATGTGGCAGTGGCGTAGAGGAAAAGCGGAATTCAAACAGGGTGTGATTTTTAGTGTTGCAGAGGCTTTCAAGTTTACTGTCAGGTAAGTCACTTAAACTCCAATTGCCAAGACGTTTGATGCAAAAAGAGCCTAGCTTTTAAACCCTCCAACTTCTGCTGTGATCCAGGCCTCACCTACAAGAAAGGGACTTTGGGGCCTGGGTGACACTCACCCTTAGCTTCTAAAGATGTCAGAGTATTAGGGACCCAAAACCATGTAACATTTGGTACAGCTACCTATGTATGTCAGGATGCAAAACAGTAAACAACATAGAAAGCTAAACGGAAAGACAAATTGAAATCCTGTGTTACAAAGAATGTTTCCTCTCAGTATTAACCACTTCTCCATTGCAATAAAACCAATTTATTGGTCCCTCCAGCAATCAGTGACCCCTCCATGCACAACTGGGGCTTCATGACCCAGAGCCATTCACGAGAGCAAGATTAGAATTGGGCACAGAAGGAAGTATATAAAGTTATTGACAACAACCTCACACACAAAGAAGTGATGTGGCTCGCCTCTAAAGAAGTAGAGAGAAGAAATACCAGCATAGAATAATTTTCAAGGCTTGGATGTCAGCTCTGAAGAAAAGAGACAACTCACCATTTATAATGAGCTAAAGACACACAGGCTGGTTCAACAGCCTTTTGGCTAAGTCAGACACTGATCACAACCAAAGTTTCCCTCTAGAACAACCAGGCCCAGGACGGCTTCAATTACACTGGGTAAATTTAGTCATCCCACCAAGGACATTTCATCAATTTTCATGCCAGTCAGGATTAGAAAGCATTTATTAGTATAGCTGAAGGTAGGTGGACAGTACTGGAGCAACCTCAATAACCAAAAGAAAGCCAATCCAAAATGTCATGGTTTGGGGCAGGGGGGCAGGAGGTGGAGGTGTTGGTGACAAAATGCACCCACTTGCCTCTGTGCAGAGGGAAACAAGCCAAGGACAATTCTGCTTCATGGTTGGGATGTTACTGTATTTATTAAGAGGGATGCAGGGGACAGTGGGGTTTCCACAGCTGTGAAATTTAAAAAGTCAACCTAACCACAGGTATCTTGCACAAACCCAAAGATAAACTCCTAACACAGGCTGATCTGCAAAAACAGATGGCTGACTACTTTAATCCCCTGTAGGGTGCAACAGAAAGGCTTGGGGGTAGGATTTAATTTTTAGTTTAAAATTTCCTGCTTGGACTGCAGTTATGTCCGTCCTTCAGAGTAAGAGAAATATAGATCCAAATGTTAAGGTGCTATTGAGAGCTATAAAAACAGGCTGTATGGAAAAGTCAAATATAGTAAAGCAAAGGTACGGTCTGCAGCTCCCCAAAGGGCTGGAAACAACCCAACACATTAAGAAAACAAGGGAACATGGAATGAAATGCTTCTTTGACATCATGGCATGTCAAAACCCTCTCTGGAGGCTGAACAGAAGTAATAGTTTACAGAATTTTGCAAGAGTTTTGCCTCTTTTTAAAAATTTTATTCCAAGCAATGACGAGCATAGAGATGACATGGACTAGGGAAGAACAGCCTTCTCACTTCCAACCTCAAAACACTGTAATAATTCCCCTGCCCAATACAATGAAAACACCATTTCCAGTACTGAACTTTCAAAGATACTGACAGCTTTATGTTCTGGGTGACATTGCCTCCAGCCAGCAATATCCCAACTGCTAACACCATTCAGATTAAGTCCAGCAAAAGACTGTATTCTCCCTCCGCCTCCCAATCCCCAGCCCAACAATCTAAGCGGTCGCCTTTTCAAAACACTTTTTTTTCATCAAAATTCTAAATGAAACATTAAAAAAGCAGGAATCAGTCTCTCTTCTTGTCCACAATATATCACATGCATTGCTTCGCGAAATTAGGGAAAAAAACCCCATACACTTTTCTCAGTGAAATGGAGAAGATGCCTCTGTTTAGACATTCAGCCCAGCCCGATGGTGGATCACACATGGGTAAATTCCCAATAGGTGAAAACTAACGTACCAAATCCATCCAATGTTTAGCTATTACTTATGCCTGGGGAACTAGATTTTCATTGAATTTGACCCTACTTTTAATTCCTCAAGCCCAAACCAGCTATTACATCTGTACTAAGCACACATGAGGACCTGACCTCTGCTTGGTTTGTAATCTCTAATATAATAAGGTTAATATGTAATTTGGCAGAGCACTACGAACATCAGTCTTAGGAACCAGAATTTATGACGTCTCACAAGTGCCTGTTAAAGAAGTTATTATGTGAATCACTGGTCAATGTTGAATGACAAGTTTTGATTTTAATTTTAATAAGAATTCCACTTAACAAATACTGCCTGTTCTAAATTGGCATATTGTAGTGGATCACAAAACAAGCTGCTTTTGTTTATAAAGAAACCCTAGATGGCGTGAAACAGACACAAGAGGAATATATAGTTTTGATTAAAAGCAAAACTCAAGAAGCCACTCAGTACTTAGCTCTACACCCAAGACTAAGTACTTGCAGTAGGTGGTGCTGTTTTCTTACTTAATGGCCTCCAAGCTCAAACGGCTCTGAAGGGTTTTCAGCTCATTCAGTCTACAGAATCATCTTGAAACCAGCTACTAGTGGCTAGCACAGATGCCTATGGATTTTCTGTCTTCCGGCTCAGAAAAACCCAGGTGTGTGACCTGGGTGTCTGTCACAATGAACACTGTGACAAATACCTCCATATTGTGACTTTAAAAAGACAGACAAATCAAGGAAGATTCAGCTTTAAAGTATCTACAAAACGCACCTTTTCCTCAGGAAAATTTCATTTCACTTAAATGAAACTTCATCCTTAAACCCAGAGGACAGAAACTGCTGAAAATGTGTCCCCACAGTGACATAGTTTAAACTATTAGTCAAGGTCAGGAGCATAGTTTAAACTTTTCACAAATGTCAGGCGGTATCAAGAACCATCTAAGCAAATTTTATTGTGATGTGGGAAGCTTTCCATGAGCCTCATCCTGCTTACTCTACTGACACCAGTGAGGTTTTACTGACTGATGTAAGCTGAGGCTTTAGTCTTTACAATGACTTAACAACAGATAATTCCTCTCATAGGAACAGTTTGATTTACTGATTTTCCCCCCTCGCTAATCCCAAAGAACGCCAAACAAAAACCCAAGCCAAATCTAAGTAGGGCTTTAATTCTAATACTCTGTCAGTGTTCAGTAAATGGTATTTCCTAGGGTGCTGCCATCAACAGCTCCATGTTAAATGGAGGGGAGGAGGAGGCCAGACTGCAGGGTGAAGTCCATCAACAATTGCTCAGCAGCCAGTGGAAAGAAGCAGACTGACTAAGCTCAGCTAAGTCCTCTAGCCCATTTGCCCTCTATAACAAGGCCTTTAAGGTCTCAAAGACAACAAGACTTCCTTGCAACAAAGCCCTCTATTGGTCTAGAAGGATCATTTCACCTGCAAAGCTGACTAAGCAAAACACAGGCCCAAAATTTTATGCTCTATAAGATCATAGCATCACAATAGCTTTTTTCTTATGTTTTCAATCCCAAACAAAAACAGTGAAAACAGCAGCTTTTCAGCAGCTTTCTTTGTGCTAGTTGCCCAGACAAGAAGTGGTCTGATGCAGAGACAGACAAGGATCTGATACTGAAACATGATCCTTCAGAGGGATGCTGGACAGAAGGTCCCACGCTGCCTGGGCTGGCTCTTAGGATACAGCAGTGGGAAGATCTGATGGACCCTGAGTTTCCCTGAACTGCAGGCAGCTGCTGGAGCAAACTTGCAGTTGGGTCCAGCACCTTACTGCCTGGCCAGATAGCAGACTCTGCTATCTCTGAGCAGCTGTGTCTCACACTCATTTACATCAGTATACAACGCAATTCAGTGGCAATTCTATTATTTGAGCAGCAGTAAACTTCCCTGGCTCACTTGATACACTTCCCAACTCAGCAATCATCAGATTTCTATCCAAGCACCACTACATGAGCTAAATCTTTTAAGTTCTTTCTTAGTCAGAGTGATCTCTGCTAACTCAGCTTTGCTCTTTTGTAGTACAAAATGGGAAGCGCAGACTTTTCAGCAACAAAGGATGTAGGGAGGAGAAGGTTTAAGAGGAAACAAGCAAAGGAAAAATACGTGAAACAGAGCTGTATGCAAGGAACATACTGCTACCTTCCAGATACTCTGAGGTCAGATTTTAATGGCAATCTCTGCTCCCCTTCAAGGGATTGCCATACGTTGCTGCTAGCCTGACGAGGAATTTTCAAGACCAAGCCCTGCATGACAGAGCTCTTTTGAATTGCAGTAGATAAGACACAGCATCACTTCACTGTTAGTATTGCTTGCTTCTACAGTGTAGA